CTTAAATACATTGAATATAATCATACATATAATCGTCACTTTCAGCCGCTTCTTTTATATCTATTGTATTATATTCTCTATTACTTAGCTAGTGTTCTTCGAAAAAAATACGTCTGGTCACCCAAAACCGAGAGGTCTATCTATCAATCCTCTATAAGCCGATTACTAAGACCAGTTCGAAGTTAAAATGAATGAAATAAAAAAAAGTTTTTTTTTCAGGCAAATAATTAAAGTAACAATTTATTGGCTGCTTAATATTCAAGTTTTGAATTTTTTGCTTAAATTACGTTTTAAGCGCAAATTACGTCACTGCGGACGGACGGTTTGAGAGAGGAAAAGAAAAACGCCTTCAAATGAGCTCACCTGCTTATAAATGCATATAAATACCTATGTGAACATACTTGTATATGAAAATATGTGCACAAAGGTGATGTAAATGCCTCCGTCATGCATATGGCTCATACTCATATATGGTATATAATAGGTATATATGTTCTTATATCATATACATACATATGTATTACATACATATAGCTGTTTATTTGACTATTGCATTGTTAATTCGCAATTTTTCCTGCATTATATGAGTTGAAATAAGTTTTCTTTGTTGTACTAGATTATCATAGAAATTATATTAATAGACATTGTATGAATAAATCACATGAATGACTGCATTAATTGATTCAAATAGCTCACAAATGAAATACATATTCATAAAACATTATGAGTAAGTGTTCATGTACATTCGAGATATTTATACACTTATAGATCTAGTTATAATAGCATGATGATGCACACAATGCAAAGTATCCAAAGGCATATGGGTCACACACATAACTAGTTACAGATTAATCCGCCATCTCCCTTCTGAGACTGCTTAATAAAGTCAGTTGTTGCAAGTAAACAAATTATCATAGTTCGTATAAAACTTCAAATGCGTTTTTCTCAAAACTATGTTTTTTCAACTGGTGACCATCGAAGCTCGAAACCATACGGTAGATTTTTATGAAATTTATATAGCTTTTTCAAAACATGAAACTTTTAAAAATTTAAAATCTTAGTTTTTGATTTGAATGAACTCGAAAAAATTTAATTCTAATCACACGGTTAATCACAAAAACCGGATTAAAAATGTATCTTAAAATTATAATCCCAACTTTCGGATTTAAAAATAAAAAAGAAAAATTTTAGTCCCAAGCATATAATTTAGAATTAATAAAATAATTTGTTTTAGAATTAAAATTTTTTCGAGTTCATTCAAATCAAAAACTAAGATTTTAAATTTTTAATCCAAAATTTGATTTAAATGATTTTTATTTTTTAATCCGTCTCGGCATTGTCATTTGGTCAGCTAGAAACGGCGATTTAACGGGAGTACACTCACTCTTGGTGGGGTATAGTTCAGGACAGATTTTATGCACAAATTCGTAAACCACTGATATTATTTGGAAAAATATATAAGTGGAAACCGGCTATCATAATGAGATAAATCAAGGTAGCAGCAGGAATCGATCAGTGTTTTCAATACAAAATAAATCTGAATTTTTTTGAAACAAATTAAATATATAACGCCTAACAAAAAGAAATGTATTATTCTACAATAGATTAATGGAAGGTCTTTTACTAGATCTATCATTTAGAAACATCCGAGTTATCTAATTTTGTAAGTAAGCAGATTAAACTCATCAATCATAAAATCATGTACATATGTTTATCCGTAAGGATATTATTACGATTTATTCTTAAATTTTTTTTATTGAAGTCAAAACAAACTGAAGAACAGAGAAAGAAACAAATAAACACCCAAGCCTTTCACTTTCCCCTACTTCATGCTCTCTTTTCTATATAAAACCGTTATCATTTTATACCACTCAAAGGATATGAGTGTTCACACACACAACTATACACCTAGACATATATCAATGTGCACACCGTTCTCTGTTATAACTGCATCAGGGTATCGAGCTGGAACTCATTAGAGGCCATAAATGGCTGATAATAGACAGATAGATGGACGGAGACACCACCGCTGAGCGCTCAGTTGTATTCATTGGCTTCAAATGTGTGCCAGTCAGTCATGCAAGCCTTCATTCATTCTTTCAGTCATATAAATATGTTAAGCATGTGTGTGAATACCAACAATTGTTCTCATTTTGCTTATTATTGCGGTTTTCTTTTTTCCATTCAATTGCTTGCGCATTTTATTTCTACGCAAAATGGAAATTGCCACTTTTATTAACTATCGCGAGTCCTATCCTATTCTATCTATCGTCGGTATCCCTTCGGCCCGCTGCCTGTGTTCCACATAACTTATTGTCCCGAATGATAACAAAAGCCAGAGCGTGTGCGCAATGCATGTTACTGTGTCGGAAAATATACAGTTGTGTGCAAATAATTGCAGTATTTTTCAATGACGTTTTTCTACTACATTTTTTGAATACTGTCTGAGTACTGTCAGAGCATTTATAAAAAAAAAATCATTAATTAATTGAAATTGTGTTGGAAAACTAATTGATATACTAAGTTTCTGATAAGGTTAATGAACCCTGTGATTGAAACACCGATTTTACAACATTTTGGCATGATGCCATTATTTGTACGAATTTTCAACTTTACTTTAAACTTTTACCTCTTACTACTGAATTATGACAATTTTCATAGCACCAATAGAACTACTCAATAACCTCCCGAAAAAATTATATATTGTGCAAATAACATTTGCTAAATTTACAAATAAATGTACATCTTCGGATAGAGGAACCATTAACGTAGGAACGTGTCGTTTTTAAAGAGAAAATCACCACGAAAACTGTAAAACGACTAACAGCGAACGAGTTTTGTGCTCTTTAAGTATTAAAGATGAAAATGAGCACAGAAGGGTGATGAGTTCAAATTTAAAAAATTATGTTATGATTTGCATCATATTTTATACATTCACTTTTATGTTAGTCGTATGAAACTAATTGATATCTCTATATCCTAAAAAGACAATTTAAACTTTTTGGTGGTAGAGATGTAATACTCGTTAAATCAGGAAAATGCTTGCTTATGAGATTATATCAATTTAGGATTAAAAATTTTTTTTTGGTTTTATTAATTATTTTAACTAAAAACCTTATACAAGTACAGTAAAAAAACAAATATATATATTAATAATCAGCGTGACGAGCTGAGTCGATTTAGCTATGTCCGTCTGTCTGTATACGCGAACTGAACGTTAATGAGATACCGATTTGAAATTTCGCACACGTTCTTTTTTCCCCAAGAAGCTGCTCATTTTTGGAACCATCGATATCAAGCCACTATAGCATATAGCAGCCATACAAACTGATCGATCAAAATCAAGTTCTTGTGAAAGACGAAGTTAATGTTTAACCCTTTACTTTTTTTAATTGATCCTTTTTGTAAGTCCGACATTTTCGATATTCGAAAAACTGATCCAAAGCAAAAATCAATCGCATTTTACTATTAAGTCTTAATTATTAAGATTATTTTTTTGGTTTCAGATAGCACGAGTTCCTACAATCGCCGGCACAAGTAGAGCTCCTCTTGAAAAAAGAGATTCCGAAGATTTGCAGCCGCCACTCTGTATCAAAATGTTAATATACAAAAGCTTTTACAATTGAAAAAAAAAACCTTGTAAAAAATTTATTCAAAGATATTGGTTGCAGCACTGCAATTAATTTGCTCATTAATGTAAGATAGAAAACTGCAAACAAACAATTACCCAGTCATACATAAGTGGCACACACTTACACATGTGTATGTATTTATTTACATATATGCTATTTTGACAGCAGGAAGAAAAATGGGAGCAACACATGGTTCAACCTTGTGCCAGTAAGTCTATTACATATTTGTACAGTGTAAGAGTTTTACATATCCTGGGCGGAATTAAAAGTAGCAGCGCTGCCTATCATACTACGCACAGGATGCGAGTAATATGGAAATGGAATGCAAAAGCAAAAAACGTTTTCGAATATGAAATTAAAAGAGAAAAGCAGCCTATTATACAATATTATCTAATGTCCACCTCCGAGACGGCTGGAAGGATGTGTCTATCGCTGGCATAGAAATACGCCTACCATGGCTACAAACTATGTATGTATATGTATAATTTTGCTAATTAAATAAGGCGAAAAATAAAAGTGAAAGCAGAAACATTAGGCAAAGCACATAGTGAAGTGATGAGAACAAAAGTTAGGTAAAGCGGTTGGAGAATGAGTTGAGGTTCGACGACGATAATGAAGCTTAATAACTGGATCAAATTTGATGTCAAGTTCTGCTTAGACCCAAGATAAACTATCTTAGTTAAGTACTACATAATCATGTTTGCAATAAAATGCAATTCAAATGCGTTACATCATCGACAAGCATCGCATGACTTCACGAAATATTGTTTCAATATTTGTAGTACAGCAAAATGCCATCATGAATTATTCACAAACAACAAATTGTCATTAAGCGGACGTGTAAGGATGCATCAAAGCTAACCATGCGATAATAATTGATATAAAAATAGAAACGAAATAAGTAGATCCCGAAACTACGGGTCTAAGCCTTCATTACATCGAGATGCTTAGTACAAAATTGTGGAAAGTATTACGACTTATGGAGCTTTAGGTTCAACTAAGCGGTTGGGTTGGGACAACCTAGAAAAACTCAGACAACCGCTCTCAGCAAAGGACATTGTATAGCTAACAGTCGAAAAGTTTGATACACCTGATAAAGATGAAAGAAATAAATGTCTTTGACTTGGACCTATGGAACTTAATACGGTAAAATTTTGAATCCATAAGAGTATGTGAAGTAACCTAACTTTTGTTAAGCTGTTTCGGCAATTACCTAAGAAATTGGTTCGGGATTGCCTGTTACAGACGATAGCCACAACTATTTTAACATGCGAAATGTTTTACTATTTAAGATACCGCCAAATGCATAACAATTTTTTAAACCAGTAAGCTTAGCACCATTACTAAAGGAAGACGCGACTAAATAATATGAATTGCGCGACATTTGCAAAACGGAATATCACCGAAACCGGCATCCACGGTTTGCCCTACTTGATGCGCACAGATCTGCATTGGACGGAGCGACTGTTTTGGTTAGGCATCATCATAGCAGCGACTTATTATTCAATTTTCCTATCTTCGGAACAATTGAAGCATTTTCGTGAAAACCCACTTGTTTTTGCCGCCGAACTGACGTGGGATAAGAAGAACTTCCTCTATCCGGGCATAACAATGTGCAGCGATTTTCGCAATGAGTTGATGGCAGAAGAAATAATAAGGGAGTAAGTGTGTAAATTGAGGTCAATAGCTTGAGGTTTTTGTAAGTATAAAAACACAAAATATTACATATTTTAAACAGAATATGGCAGCTCACACCCAATGATACAAGTTACGACTATTACTCAAATTTTTTGCAAGTCTTAAATGTCCTACACTATGATACCCTGGAGACGCTGCTGCCATACAAAAATGACTCGACGCTTTGGGGCATCGTTTACGTGGATGTTTTAACCAAAGTAAGAGATGATTACAAAATAAAAACTAAAGAAACGATAAAGACTAAGCTTTCATTATAACTTTTACAGTTGCAGACACCAGACAAGCCAGAAATTCAGATCTCCGAAAAAAAGAGCATCATATTCGCACAAGCAATTACAGAGGTTGGTCTGTGCCGTACAACTTCACAGCTCAATAAGTACACCAATCCCAGCGGAGAAATGTATGTATGATGAAATATTGATGGATACAAGCATATTTAATAACCTAAAGACATGCCATGTTTATTCTATATCATTTCAGAAAATCCGTCGAGGTTAGCCCCGTGCAATATTGTCTTTTCATGAGCATTTGTACTATCAAGCTGTTTCCAGAATATTCAGATGAAGCAGGCGTATTTGTGGTAAGTTAATTGAAAGGTCTTGGAGAATTTCAGACGCTTTGATGTTATACGCCCCAAGGACATCTAAAAAGATAGGATAGTAGGGAATATCTTTTACTAAAGTATTGAATATGGATTCGCAAGGCAAAAATCCGTTGGAAAATAATATCTTAATTCGGTTAAAAAGTGATTGGTTTCACCCCCGATTGAGTGGGCAATTATCATTACATTAGATTTTGTTATGGTTTTTTGCTGGAGATCTGAGACTGTTTTGTATCAAGATTGGGCAAAAGGTGGGGGTTGAGCTTATTGCGCAGTTAAATAGAGGCACAGCTTTTCTTAATTGGTACGGGTTTATTTTCTTAGTTAACAGTCAGACCCGTTCGAAACCTTATTTTATTTGATATTCATCAGACTTTGTTTAGAGCTATCTCTTCCGTACACACCGTTTATTTGAGAATGTTTTTACAGTAGATAATTTGGGATCAAACATATTGAGACAATTGAAAAAATGTAAGAGTAAAAAACGTTTAAACAGTTTTAAGAATATCTCTATCTGTTGTCAGTATCTGCATAACCCCTTCGATGTCGTAGCGCCCAATTACATAACCAATGTCTATCAGACTGCGCCACAAGGTCGAGTTTTAACTGTTGATCTAGAGATCACTTCATTCAGTGCCGAAGCACAGGTGCGCAGAATACCGGTGGAGTACCGCAAATGTCGCTACCCAGAAGAGAGTAATCTCAAGTACTTCGAGGTAAGTTTTTACTATCTAATAAGGTCATCCTAAATATATATGGTATTTACCGTTCTGATTTCACAGACCTACACGACAGCTTTGTGTTGCATAGAACGGCGCATTCACAGGGCCATGGAACTATGCAATTGCAAGCCACATTTCTATGCCGTAGGAGCCGATCTACCCATTTGTAATATTGATCAACTTTTATGTTTGCAACGGCATAATTGGACGAAGACAAATTGCACCACCTGCGTACAGCTCTGTGAGTCCATGTTTTATGTGCAGCTACAGCAGAGCGTTGCGCAGCCTATGCACGGGCTGCAGGTGGAGGGTGAAATGAGTCAAAAATTTGAACGCACCGTCAACATACATCTCAATTTGCCGTATCGAGGCATACGTCGTCGTGTGGTCTTCAGCTACGATGAGGTGATCGTCTCGTTTGGCGGTGCGTTTGGTCTGTTTTTAGGCGCCAGCTTTATCAGCACTTATACGATAATAAAGATTTTCGGCGATTTTGTGGTGCTCAATTTTTTGCAATTTTGTCGACAACAACAACTTCGCAGAAGAATATTACGCGTTCGTGTGATATAAAGCGCCGAATAAAATATGAAATGCTACGAGAACAGTCGCTGTAGCTTTAAATTCAATTATAATATATATAAGGCAATTGAATTTGTATTGCTGGCGAAATCAACTGAACTATCGATTTTCTCTGACACATTTCCTTTCTCTTTTCGCTAAACTTAAATGCCAAGAAAGCTACTGACACCTAACAAAGGCACGCCATGCAATAGCGATACAATTTATGCAGGTAAAATGTTATAAATGAAAATCATCACAGGGTGAATAACGAAAAAAGTATCTGCTCAGCTCACAAATGCTTATATTTTGCTTGCAATGCATGTGTTATACAAGAAGAAAGGTCATTAAAATGCATTTGCGCATTATTTTTTCGAATTCGAAATGACCAGAAATATATATTAATAAATGTTGCATTAATGTTGAAATTAATAAAAATTCATTGCGAACAGCTGTGGAATAGTAAATCATGGAATGTTTTTGAAATTGTAATGAGTATTAAGCTTGCAAGGCAAAGCGAGACGATGAAAAGCTGTCTCAATAAAATTCATTATTCGATTTAAAGTACTTAATTAGTGACTTTTAGGTCTACAATATGGTGAACAGGTGTACGGAAATCCACCTATCGGAAGCCAATGGAAAAGCTTCAGAGGCTCGCTGCGCTGTGCATAATGGGAGTTTTAATAACCACACCCACGGCTCTTAAGCTAGTGCTACACCTGCCACCTATAGACCTCTTCGCTGAAAAATGTGTAGCAAAATCGGCGGACAACTACTGGTTGCATGAGAATTTATATATAGAACTTTCGGTCTTAACTCGATGGGTAATAGCGGCACCGACTACATGATACGACTCTTCAATTGAGAAAGAAGATTCAGAGTAACCAGCGACTTCGCTTCTTCTTGGTGCCAAGCCATAAAGGCATCGATGGCAATGGGATAGTGGATGAGTTGCCAAGAGTGGTGTATGGTTGTCATCCGATAACGTGACCGACATTGGTAAACCCATGCATTGTCTTTACGGTAGATCAAAAATAAGAAGAGACTGTAGGAATGATTGGGAACAGATCGAGTTGACTCAGGAAATGTCAAAAGCTAGGCACCAGGGAAACAATGGATCATCTCCTGTGCACTTTCCCGCACTAGCAAGGCAACGTTTCCAGCATTTGGGGGCCCGATGGTATTAACAAGCGCTGGCATGCTGAAGGATGCGATGAAGGATAGACTAAGCAAATATATTAAAACAAGAAAAAACGTTAACTTCGGGATCACCAATGCTATAATACCCTTTACAAATATAAAAGGTTCCTTAGAAGAACTTGATTTCGATCATTCAGCTTGTATGACAGCAATATGATATAGTGATTCGAGCTAAACCACATACCAGCTGGTCTTTGATGCAGTCTAGCTTAATTTTAAAGTAATTCCTTTTGGAAGTCTTGTCTCAGTCATCCTCTATTGCGTATTTTGTTTTACCGACTGAACTTTAGTAAAGTAGTTATGGGCATCTCAATAATCTAGAACACATTAAACTTATCACGTCATTAATAAACAAAAATCGTTAAAATTAATTATATCTTTCATACAGAGAACCGAAATGAAAAAAGGTATAGCAGCACATTAAAGGGTTAATCAGAGACTATGGGGGTTTTTGACGGCTTAGTGCAAGTTTTGCTAATTTTAATACGATGGATCAGTGAATACAGTAATGATAATTGTCTCTTGAAACTCAAAATTGCTTTAATGATGGAAGAAAGCTGAAAACACCGGAAAACTATGTAGTGAAAATCATTTTGCTTTTTTTAGCGGAGCGCTCATATAAAGCATCTATATGCGTTTGTACGATTACACGTGTATGTATGTGAGAGTAATTGTATTAAATTTACGCAAAGAAGCCATAGAAAGGTTGTGCCACTGACAGTACCTTCGCTTCGTAATTTGAAATAATCACAAATTATAAAACAAAAAAACCGAAGAAAATGTTAAACCACCAACAACAATACAACTATATTATAGTTACCCATATACTATATATACACACAAAGTACATATGCCTATTTGCAGCATTTCACTTTTGCTAAATATTACTTTATGTGTTGAACGATTTTCTCGCGTGCCACGACACGATGACGTTTGCTATACAAATGCATATCTGCAAACATACATTAGGGTGCTCCTTGCAAAATAAAATAAAGAGTTTTAGCTTAAAAGATATCAAATATAAATGATGGTTCTAAGTGAAGAAGGTTAGGCGTTCTTAGTGCTCTATATTTAGTACTAGGATTTCTCTTTTACACTACAGAAATTTAAAAATAGCGTAAATAATCTGGGCTGTACCTTATATGTGATATGTTAAACTACAATATAAACTACTAAACTAAAATAATATCGAAATCTGATGATGATGATGTACTTTACATTGATTTTTCTAAAATACCGAAAAAGGTTCAATTTTTGATCGAAAATATTAGCAGTAAATTGTTTATATAACAAAATCAAAATAATAACAAAAAAAACGTACATAGTGGACTAGATAATGTTGCTGCGAGGAGCAGTCTCCGAATGCCGTCGTCCTCCGATTTGAAAAATGTTGTTTAGAGAAAAGCGAGTATAGATCTTCAGCTCACCGGTCCAAAAGCTCGTCACTACAGCCAGTTGGACCGGGAGTTTGTTTTTTTTAGTATTATAGCATTTGAATAATAATTAATTTATGACCCTAAAATGTACCTTTAGCCAAAACAATAAAGCATTTTTGAGAATTCTAGACGACGCAAAGTCGTGAAGCAAGCTTTATGCTGATTTTATTCCACCACTTTTTTTGAAAAATTGTATTACTTCTTTGAGATTCAGACCTTTTACAGAAGAGACATTTTATGAGATTTTTAGCAAGCGAAAAGTTTCAAACGACTAAATAGATGGTGGTAATCACAATCTTTTTTTTTTTTAATTTTTACTCATCGCTACCAGACTATTGATGCTCTAGTTCTGAATAATCGTTTTACTATACCAAAGTAAACTTTAAGCAAACCGAAAATCGCTTTTTGAATAATTATGGAATGAACTAGTACCCTTAAGTACCAACCTAATGCACATTAATATATAGTTATAGTTTAATGCTTTCATCCGCGTACTTCAGCGGTTTAAGTTCTTCGTTAATCGGTTTGTCTCATGCCAAAATGTTGGCTCATGGCTGCTGGTTGTTGGCGTACGGCTGACGCCTGATGACTGCAATCCGCGTCATTATGTTACGTGTTGATGGCAAATGTGATGAAGATGCTCATAATAAGTAAATCTGATGCCGTGATGGCGTTAAAACGAACTAACGATGTTTAGACGCTGTGATTTCAGATTATAACGACGCCTGCGGTTACCAATTATATTTCCTCGGTGCGGTCGCCTTTCTATTTGACGCTTGGTCGGCCCACAATCTCATGTACACACCTACATACACATATATGTGCATTTTTATGTAGGCAGATATAGTTAACCGAACTTTGGTGGCGGTAAAATGCAGCGGATGTGCGCTTAGCGTGAAGAAAATGCCCACAAAACAAATAGTCAAAGCTAATAACCTTCATTTTTGTTTTTATTGTGTTGCCAGCAAATAGCAGCGCCATCTTTTGTGGTTGTTGTTGTTGATTTGCTGTCAGCGTGTGGAGTAAATGAAGGTTAATGGCAGTTTTAATTTTGAAAATTTGTACGAGTACTTTGGGGCTCATTAGAAGCCAGTATGAAATGTAGCTAAATTACTGGAAATAGTTAAATACACTAAATGCACAAAAAACAGTAACCAAACAAAAAAAAAAATGCGGAGCAGTAATTTTTACACCTATATAAAAGGTGTTTTTTAGACACGTGGTTTTCAAGAAGACATAAAACGAGTATATTCTAATGTTATGGCCAATAATTTAGCTTTATTGTAAAGATAAGGATTGACCATTATGTTTTAAAAATGATTTCGGGCAAGGCCCAAATTCCGAAAACTTTTTGCAATTTCAATTCAGCAATTAGGGCCGTCAGTCAGCAATAACTCTTCCAAAGCGTCAATCGTTTTGGGCATATTTGCATAGGCAAGCGACTTCACATAACCTCACCAAATTGGTATCTTGGAGACCATGCCACAGGTCCACGTTTCAGGCAAAAAACAGTCATTAATCATGGCTCTATAGCAAACCCCCATTTTTGAAGAAATATCTGGACTATCATAGCTCCAAAATGCGACAATTTTGTTTATTAACATACAAAATGAACCAAAAGTGAGCTTCATCGCTCAACAAAATTTTCTAGTGAAAATCGGGATCGGTGTCCATCTCGTTTTAGGCTCATTTACCTAACGTGAGATGCGTTCACAAGTTGGATTTCGTAAGCCTGCAAACCAAGATCTTCCGCAAAATCTTCCATAAAGTGGTTGAGCACAGCGCCAATTGTGGCGCGCATTGGCGTATGGACTCATTCAGATCTACTTCGATACTCTGCTGCACAGTAGGACTAGAGAAAGCGCGGTGCGAAACCGATCCACGGTTGCTCAAATTACCGACTCTGCTGAGCGATTGTATCGACGGAATATTGAACGCTGCGTCGCGCAAACCCAACCATTATTTTGGTAATAAATTTTCACGATTTGCAAACGTTGTTCCGGAGTAAGACCGTATATTACGAAATGGCAAACCAAACTTCGAAAAAAGTGTTGCCTCATTGAAAATCACACGTCTAAAAGAAACACCCGTTACATACATGTATGTATATTATATATTTACGGACATATATTATATATGTACATATATAGAGATCACAAGAAGTGCCAAGGCTACTGTTGTGCAAAATAAGTGCGCAATCCCAATTGAAACAGTTAGGTTTTCAAGAGGTTTTTTAGCAGACCATTTAAATGCTAACATGGAAAAGGTAGGTACTCCATTTCGTTTTATCAACCAGAACTGTACTATATCAAATTGCAAAAGAACAATCGAAAGTGAGAAAATGTTTCAACCGAAATAATGGCTAGGAAAAATACTGAGATCTTTGCTTTATCGGTCTTATGATATCATTGAACTTTTCAGAATTATCAACCAGTTAAAAACCTCATGTATGGCGTCAATGACGATTGCTAGCGTTAACTATATATAAAAATAGAACAATATTTAATATTATGAAAAAACAAATAATGACGACGGAGAAACCACAAAATTGTTTTGACGTGACGGATGCTTTATTCTTGGTAAGTGGACGATGAAAGAAAATTTGAGATTGATATGGCTAAAATTTTTATATATTTAACAGGAACATATGAATAATTTCCAAATGCAGACGCTTCAATTACTAATAATATTGTTTCGACATCAAAGTTGGTCTCCTAAACTACTGAACAGATGTTAATAAAAATTTAGCACACTTAGTACAGATTGATCCAACTTTAAA